TTTCAGTAACATCCCACACTTGGGTAGCTCCTTTCTATAAGCAGTGCTTTAAGATGGACGTCTGGGTCCTCATTTCCTCCCTATTGGCTGCCACCTGAAGGCAGTCACACATGTCCTTTCTGTTGGGCTGAGCTGGGCAGAAGCCTCAGACTGTAGGCCTTCCCGGAACAGGGGCAGTGCCCGCCACGAGTAGATACCTCCCTGCAACCTCCACCCTGGCACACCCAGATGGCATGGACTCAGGCAGGTTGCTGGATTTCTCTGAGCCTTGGCGTGCTCTACACTGCAGGGCTACACATGTTCCCAGCTTGAGAGAGTGCTGGGGATTGACAAGCATATGAAACATAGAAAGTGCAATGACTTTCTAAAATTCTGCATTCCCAACATGCCCCTCGGCTCTCTCTCACTGGTCCAAGTTTGTGTGCCTTCCATAAATCCCTTTCTGTGGACAGTGACCATAGGATTGGGGGTGGGTGGGAGGATTGTGGAAAGACTGCGAAGAGGTCATTGCAGGACCCAGACAGGCCTTCGCAGTGGGTTTCAGAGTAACACTCAGGTTCTCCGGTGGAACTTTCAAAGCCGGCTCCAAGAAAGACCAAGTGGATAAACCCACTCCTGGACATAGTGCCAACCTAGAACTGTCAGCTCCTAGAACTGTCCTGCAGAGGCCGGCTGGGCCTCTCATGGGGGTGCTCATTGTGGTTGAAGTCGGCTTTGATCCTTGACCCTAACTCAAGATCACAGGGAAGGGAGCTTGGTAAGACAGCACAGCTGGGGCCCCACTTTTCAGATGAAACTGGAGCCATGCAAGGGGCTGGGGATCGACTTAGGAAAGAGCACAGCACTCAGAGGTCCTGGGCATGCATGTAAAGCTCGTCCCCCATGGAAACGGCAGGGAATGCTTCCTTCCCCGGGTTCTACATCTGTACTCCCTCTCAAAATGCATAAAAGACTGAGTCATTCAGATGCAAGAGGCAGTGTTTCTGTTTCCTCTGTCTTAGTTGGGGTTCCTCCAGAAGGAGACCCTGAGAGAGGACTTGAGCGTCATGTAGTTTATTTGAGTGAAGATCCCAGGAGTAGGGAGAGAAGGAAGCTGACGAGGAAGGCGAATGTTATCAAGTAAGCTACCGTGATGTGCACAACTGGAGTTGAATCCCACTGGGGAGCCCCGAGAGACAGAACTGACACCCCAGAATTAAGCCAGCAAAATGGGGAGACAGCTGGGGTATGTATTCACCAAGTGTATCGCTGGTGGAAGGCCGTTTCTGGAAACAATTTCTGACTGGCCCTGCACACACCTGAGCATACTTCCCAAGCTGGGGAAGTCCTAGGGCCGAGAGACAGGCGTGCATGACAGCAGACCTGGAGTGGAAGGCAGGCATCAGAACTAGCTCGTGAGCTGGTTCAGACAGACTGCAGGCCTGCTACCCCCCCATCGCCCAAACCCCCAACCCCCAACTCCCTCCCTGCCCTTGCCCCCGCCAAGTTCCTGACTCCCTAGGTCTGGAGTGGGACCCAAGAATTTGCATTTCAAAAACACATCTCACAGTGATGCTGGTGCAGCTGCTCTGAAGTCTTGACTTTGAGAACCACTCACTGGTGAGAGTTTCCAGCCCTTACCTGCCTCTTATTGATGGTTCCCCCCTCTAATTTATAATTATGTTTTCACACCACTTCATGTCACAGATCCCAGGGTCCGTGCTGTGAATTTAGAAGTGGAGAATTAATAAGCATTTATAACTCCATGCAACCATTGCTGGCAGCTTAAATGCCATCTGCCAGCCACAATTTATTTATAATGGGGTTTATACATATTTATAAGTTTGCAAGCAACAAATGCACAGTTTTAAAACTGACACATTTTATAGCAGCCAGAAAAATTGCAACTTTATACCAAGACTTGTGAATGTGAATTGCATATGTATATAGATACATGCATATACTTACATTGATTGAAAACGGATCTGCAGCTCTGTGCACACACGCAGATTGGCTCTGGGCTGTGCACCTTGGGACTCCTCCCTGGGCTTTGGTTTTACAACTAACAAGGACAACTAGGAAGTCAAGCAAACGTGAAGAATTTGGGAATTGGCAGGTTGTGGCATCGGCCGTGGAGGATGGTCCTGGATGCCGCCGGACGTAGGACCCAGCACAAAGGGAACAGGCACAGGACATGAGGACAGGGGTTGGGGGAACCCACTGTGGGAAATGACAGAGAAGCCAGCAGGGGAAGACAAGGAAAGAAGAGGGTGGAGGCAGGATAAATGTGAGAAGGGAAGGGGAGGATAAAACAAGTCTAGATTTAGATCTTTGTTCATGCAGCCATGCATAGCCATGAGGCCAGTGGGGAAGGAGCAGAAAGGGAAGGTGTGATGGAGGAAGCTGTGCTCATGATGTCATGCTTTGGTGTATTCCCAGGTGCAGCTGCATATACTTGGCACAGTTTCTTGGCATTTCTAGCCAGCCTCTTGGCCTCATTCATGCATTAGTTAAAATGTGGCTGGCCTTGTACTGGGATCGCGAGATAGAGAAGCAAATGTATGAAGTTGTAACTCTGCCTGCGTTTAGAACCTAGAAAGAAATAAAGACACACACACACACACAAAGATGTTGGAGTGTGACAAGCTTTAGGTACCAGTGTGTCCAGGTTCACTAGAACCAGCAAGGGCAGAGCACCCAGGTCAGTTTGGGGACTCTGGAGGCTTTGCACTGCAGGAGACTGAGTGTTAATGGCATGGAGGAGAGCGTGGAAGGCTCCGGATGGGGAGGGACAGCCTGGAGTCGCCAATCTCAGTAGGGATGCTAGAAGAGGCGGGAGGCAATCCCAGCCTCCCTTCTTTCCTCCCCTTTGGCTGTCACAGATGCTCTGAATAGATGAATCCCTCAGGCCCAAAACACACAGGCTACTTCCCTAGGGCTAGAAAAATGGTTCTTGCTGAAAAGCACCAGGAATAAAATCTCATACAATTTTAAGTGTCTATTTTTTTGTCTCACCTTGAAATATTGCAGACAGAAAAATACACACGTGGGGAAGGAACGCTGCGGTCCTGAGCTTTGAGGTAATGAATTGGCACTCACGTGGACATTTTTACCGTAACCAAAGTTTCTAACCACCAAATCAAGTGACAATTAAAACAGACATTAATAGGTAAATCCGTCTTGAAATATTAATGGTGTTAATTTTTTTTAACAACTATGTGTTGGTTGCAAGTGGAATGTTCTCTGTTCATTTGACTTTTGAATATAACTTGTCCCAGAATATTGTAAAATTAAGTATGTGAATGTTTCTTTGTATTCAGAATTAAACATTTGGTGTTAAAATCCCAGGATTAGGAGACAACTCCATGTAAATTTAATGTGTAATAATAAGACAGTTACTTTTTAAAAAGCATTTGGATGGCAAATTATACATATTGACAGATGAGTATTATTTGAAAATTGTTTTGTTTCCATTAACTTTTGTGCAGCAAAAAGAATTACCGTAATGGTCTACGTCTTGGCGTATTGCCAATTCACCACTTTCTACTTTGTACTGAAACAGAATTGACTTTTTGGACATCCCTGAGGAGTGGAAATCCAAAACAAATTTCAAGTTCTCTAATCTTCCTTCTGAGACAAATGGTAAAACCTAAGTTATCTGGTCAATGTTTTGGAGATTTGACAACACAGCAGGTGAAGGGAATTAGCTTAAATTCCCTCCTCACTTTCCATGGATCCTCGGGGATTCCTTCACTCTGTCAGGAAATGGTTTCCAGGTGTGAGCCCTTCATGATCTGTCTGGTGCATCTCTGTGCTCCTGGGATCGCCAAGTGCAGGCATGGCATCACATCCCCAAGTGTCATCCTGTAACCCAGGAGGGGAAGATGACACACCCAGTTTAGGTAATGCCGCACTTCTTGTTATAATTGGTTATTGGAAAATGTGCCTTTATTATCAGAACAGTGGTGTGTGCATTTCTGATTATGTAGCTAACCTTTGGATATCTGACTTAGATACTAAAAACATTTGGGTGTTGCAGTTTTGCACTTGTAGATACGATTTAAAAGCATGAAATTGGTGATTTAATTAGATGTTTTCTATAAAATGCACCTTGTTACATTTCTGTGAAAGGCTCTTACCAGCATGGAATAACTGGCTCAAGGGTTGAGAGTAACGACCATTTTCTAAACAGTTGATTGTTTAAAGGACTGTACACGTTAAGTCTGGGCAATAAAGGCTATTGTGAAAAGTCTCTTTCATTTGGATGATGGATTTTGTATTGCCTCACAAAAGAGAGGAGGGGAGCTTGAAACTTTTATCTAGGAAGTAGGTATTTTCAGTGGCTCCCTGGGAGACTTCTTAAAAAACAGTCACAACAAAGCATTGTCTCATCCATCAAGGCTGTGGAATAAAAATGCATCCCGGCAGATGTATTTCTAGAGGACTCATGTTACCTTCTAGCACCTTGTCAGCCTTGGACAGAACCGGGGGTGGGCAGCTACATCTTCACGTGTGTTGGGACATTTCATTGTGAGTTGTAACAAGCATCGCCACCAGAAGAGTTATGCCAAGCACTGGCCTCCTCTTTACAGAGGATGCAGGACAGAGGCTAAAATGGACCATGTGTACAGGAGAAAGCCACTGTGCAAGGGTTGGCTCTGACCTGCTCTCTCCTGCTGCATAAACAACAGCAAATGGGGCAGGACCAGAGGTCCCATGTCCTTGAGCTGTGCTTTTATCGCGATAGGTCTTACGAATTTCTCGCTATCAAAAAAGCCATCCTCAAAACAGCATGACCTACCAAAATTGGTGTAAATAGTACCCAATGCACTGAAGCTTCACTAAAATACCGCCTGTGATAGTGGGGAAGAAGGAAGGGGGAAGGCTCTTCCGGGTTCTGAATGTGGTTTAATTCCTGAAATGCTGAGAAACAGAGGGGAGAAGCAAGCCTGCAATACTGCACATCGCTGCGGTGGGGACGGTGCCTGGTGAAAACAGTCCCGTCACACGGACTCCCAAGAGCAGGTTTACACAAAGCCTTTGGTTTTATTTTTTAACAAACATACATTGGAAATAATAAAGGTTTCTAACGGAAAAGAGATCTAATGCATAGTTTCCCTGCAGCATAGAAGACCACCTGTTTCCACACTCCAGGGTTAGGGCTTTGAAACATTCAGCTGCTAAATTACTTCCAGCTGGCTAGCTGGTTAGGCATATTGGTGCATATTGGTATCAAAGGTGATTATTTTTTGCATTTAGCAAATGAGCACAATTACTTTTTTGCTGTATTTTTAATTCAGATTGCTCAAAAGTCTTGTTATTTCAAGGGGGCCTCATGTCACACCACAAATATTGATACCTCCAAGTGAGAATGAGCAGGCTCCCTAGTAGAGTTAATGGATGAAGGCTGAGATACTTAGATATTGGGGATGTCAGGGTTATGGAATAAAGTGTTATGAACAGTAGCTACAGAGAGGTACATGGCTCCCAAAGCAACTCACAACTATAACATAAAGTTCTAAAGTCATTTCCTTGCCTATGTGAAAATGCAATACTGAATTTTTGGCTCTCTGATGTATTTTGTTGTTGTTTTATTTTATTTATTATTATTTTTTGAGACAGAGTCTCGTTCTGTTGCCCAGGCTGGAGTGCAGCGGTGCAATCTCGGCTCACTGCAGCCTCTGCCTCCTAGGTTCAAGCAATTCTCCAGCCTCGGCCTCCTGAGTAACTGGGACTACAGGTGCATGCCACTGCGTCTGGCTAATTTTTGTATTTTTAGTAGAGACGGGGTTTCACCATGTTGGCCAGGCTAGTCACGAACTCCTGACTTCAGGTGATCCACCTTCCTCGGCCTCCCAAAGTGCTGGGATTAAAGGCATAAAGCCATTGCACCCAGCCTACTGTCGTTTTCTTAATCCAGAACTTTAATGTTTTACTTTCCTAGAAATGCCCTGGGTTTTCTCATGCTATTTGATAAGAGAATAAGCTACTTTTCAGTGATGTCAAGAAGGCAACAGGAATGCTCCTGGGGAAGATCTCTTTACAGATAGGTTTCATCTCATCAGTAACAAAAATTAGAAAAGTCTTTGGTCAGTCCATGGAGGTGAGTTACCCTGAACCCACAAAAATGTCTCTTTACAAGAGCAATTTGCATCAGATGACGAACAGGAATCAATTTCTCTTAGAAAAAAGTATTAATGCGTTAAGACCACTCTTTTAGGTTTTATTCAGGCAAATGCTCACTGAACCTAAATAAAACACTTTAGGCGACTCGGATGTGAGTTTCTTTTGAGGGCTGGTTGGTTTGTCCTTGTTTTTACAGAGAACTCAACAAGGCAACTGTGTGCTGATGATAGTTCTACAAACGTGTTTACTTTCTTTCCATTTATTTGTTTAATACCTACAATCCTTGGGGAAGAGGATGTACAAAAATGTCTTCTAAGTAATCCCTTTACAAGGTAAACAGACGGCTAATGGGTTCAACTTATGTAGAAAAGTAAAATTATAGTATCATGTAGTTATTATTACATCACTCTGAAGAATGTATAAGCTGCCAGATCACATTTTCTAACCTGACAATTAAACTTCTTTCACTGATAGTCATGATCAGTGCCAGCTTTCAGGAAGCTGTGAAACTACTGGTGGCCACAGCTACTCAGCTGCGACGCCACGGGGGATTACTGACTTGGTGCTTTTCTTACACAGAAACAAACTCAACACGGAATTAAAGTGCTGTCTTGTGAATCTCTGCTCATTTCCTGGACACCTTCCGTTTCCTGAAGCAGACCCCTGCCCGTGTGGCGTGGGAAGGTGGGCCAGACCAGCTATCTGCTTCTGCTGCTCCCTCATGGGCTCTTTCTTTGGCCTGTCTGGGGGCACAAGCTCTTGGGTGATCTTGGCTGGCTTTTCTGTGATTTGCAGAAACCCGAAAACCATCACATAATTTTGCTTTGGGATATGATTAAAATTACGCAGGGACAAATGACTGAAGGGGCTGGTGTAGTCAGACCCATACATCTGGGGCCAGCCTTGGACAAGCCCTTTTTAGGGAATTTGGACTTTAAAAGCTTGATTAACATGAGACTTCATGTCAGTCTAAAGAGACCAGGGATGGCACGTCCACCTAGTTCACAACCATGTCCTTGTCCCGGGGTTCAGTCCAAACCCAGCTGTATAACCTGTTACCTGTGTGTTGTATGCAGATTCTATGTAGGTATCACATGGCAAACACCTGGAACACAAATTCTGTGTAATGTAGAGAGGTATGAGTATACAAGCATCCATTCTATGCACAGGAAATGTAGTGTAAAATCATCGAAACACCATTCAGAGGCACATGGAGAATCACACAGCATTGCGTGGCCCATGACCTTCCCTCTCTGAACACTAGGGAGGGTGTCCAGGATTCCGCAGAAGGCTGTGGATGGTGTCAGCAGCTTAGTACATCTGAAAGACTCTGGAGCCCAAAGTGGACAAGGCACATTGTCTACACTGAAATGGGGTGGTGATTCCTCGGCCTTCTCTGTAAGAGACATCCACCCTGAGCAGGCTGTTGGTCAAAGTAAGGTAGCCCTCCCGAGTCACAGTCTCGAGGGGCCCCTGTGGAAGCGATGCATGCAATAAATAAGAACGCAGCTGCAGAGCAGGGCGCATGGAGACGTTCACTTGCAGAGAATCCCGTTCTGAAGTGCTGCGTTCTTGTCCATGATACAGGATGAGGGGGCTGTGTGGGGGAGGTCTTCCTTGACCTTCGGGGAGTGGCTGCTGTTGTTGCTGCTGCTTGATTTACTTCTGCTTGGGTCGAGTGCCGGCTGGATGGGTGAGGCACGGGCCCCCCGGCCCCTGACCAGGCAGTTGCAGATCAGACGGAAGAAGGCCCGCCGCATCTCCTTGCTGGCCAGCGTGTAGATGACCGGGTTCATGGCTGAGTTGAGCACAGCCAGCACGATGAACCACTGGGCCTTAAAGAGGATGGGACACGCCTGCACCCTGCAGGCCACGTCAATGAGGAAGAGAATGAAGAGTGGGGACCAGCAGGCGATGAACACGCTCACCACAATCACCACGGTCCGCAGCAGCGCCATGGACCGCTCCGAGTTCTTGTGGTTGGCCACCTTACGGCTGCTGGACTTCACCAGGAAGTAGATGCGTGCATAGAGGATCACGATGGTCACCAGGATGGCCGTGAAGATGCTGATGCAGAAGGCGATGTACTTCTTGGAGTAGAGGGGCAGGATGGTGGAGCAGTCGGGGAGGTTGTGCAGGCAATTCCAGCCCAGAATGGGCAGGGAGCCCAGAGTGAAGGCAATAAGCCAGCACATCCCGATCAGGAGGAAGACGCGGTGCTTCTTGTTGGCGTCGTAAGGCCTCATCTTGATCATGGTCAAGTGCCGCTCGATGGCGATGGCCAGTAAGCTGCAGGTGGACGCCCCGAGGGCCACGAACATACTGCCCTCCCTGAGGAACCAGACCGTGGGAGACAAGCTGAACGTCCTCTTGCCAGACATCAGGATGTTGACCTTGTAAGCGATGCCGGCCAGCAGGTCGCAGAGAGCCAGGTTGCCAATGAAAAAGTACATGCGGTTGTGAAATTTATTGTTTTTCCAAATGGCGATCAAAACCATCAAGTTCTCCAAGACGATGAAGCTGCAGATGACCAAGAAGAGCACGGTGGTGAGCGTGCTGCCCTCGGAGGCCTCCTTCAGCCTGCCTGCCAGCTTCCCCACATACTGATAATGCTCCTGAAGGGTCTCGTTCCCCGGCAAGGGCTGGGGGCGCGGCGGGTGGGCAGTAGCCATCACTTGGCATTCACAGACAATTAGTTCCAAAATCCAGGAGAGGGCGCCCAAGGAACATTCATTTCAAAGAGAAGCAGGGCCAAGGCTCCAGCTTCATTCAGCAAGGTGTGCAGGCCAGACTCCAGCGAGGGCTCCTGCCAACAGATAAAAAGAGGGAGTGACCATTGATAAAATCATCGCAGCCCAAGGGGCCACGGCAATGCTGTTCGAGAAAGGCATGGAAAATGTGGAAGTACTGGGATGACTGGCCACATCAGGTTGCAGAGAGGATCTTTAGACACAGGCTAAGTTCCTAAGTGATTGAGGGAGACCATGGGAAGCGATTTGGTGTCTGGAGTTGCTGGGAAGGGAAATTTAGTGCATGAATTATTGAATCCTGTAACAAAGATACACAGACCTAAATACAGCTTCCGTCTGGAAATCTCCAAGCACTAGAAAATGCTAACTAGTCCTCATCTAGGGCCTGGGAGCTGGCGACCCATTATCCCAGTCATCCAGGGAGAAACAGGATTTTCTCAGGACAAAAAAGCAGGATGGAACCTCAAGGATGCCTGCTCGGTTTCTAAGACCTCCCTAGTGAGTTTCCCAGTGATACTGTGGGAGGCTCCTGCACTTCCCAGATAGCGTCCCCTGGAGCCAGGCCCAGAAATCAGGTCTGAACGGGCTGTAGGTCTGCCTGGGAGAGAGCCCTGAGGCCTGACCATGTGGCCATCGAGGGACTAGCAGTGCAAGCCTCCTGTGCAGTGCCCATGTGAACAAGGAACACCAACCTGCAAAAACGGGACCCAAGTCTACGGAGGATAAGGAAGGACAGGAAAGCAGCGCCAATCACACCGACTCTGAGTCTGGCTTAAAATTCAGAGCCCTACATACAGATAGAACTACATGGTGCATGTCAGCCAACAGAAGCGCCACATTTGGGAAGCTGCAGATGACCAAGAAGAGCACGGTGGTGAGAGTGTTCCCCGCAAGAAAGGGAAAGTGGTGAGCAAAGGCCTTGATGGGTTCTGAATTCCAACTCTTCCCCCACCAGACCTCAAATACTTGCATTCAGCCACACTGATAATATTGATCAGCCTTCTGTGATGTCGGTGAGGCCGCACACCCAACCACCAAGGTAGAAGCCGCTTTCAGTGGACTCATTTATTATTTTATTATTTAATTATTATTATTTTTTTGAGATGGAGTGTTGCTCTGTCACCCAGGCTGAAGTGCAGTGGCTCCATCTCGCTCACTGCAACTTCTGCCTCCCAGGTTCAAGTGATTCTCCTGCCTCAGCATCCCAAGTAGCTGGGACTACAGGTGCGTGCCACCATGCCTGGCTATTTTTTTTTTTTTGTCTTTTTAGTAGAGACGGGGTTTCACTGTGTTAGCCAGGATGGTCTCAATCTCCTGATCTTGTGATGTGCCCGCTTTGGCCTCCCAAAGTGCTGGGATTACAGGTGTGAGCCACCACACCCAGTCACCATTTATTATTTGAGTTTTTAAATAGCTAATTAAGTTCAGATGAGGCTAATTTAAAATAGCCCACTGTGTATATACAGTGAATTTTTTTTTTTAACTTTCACAATGTTTAAACCACAACCCTAAATTTGCTTCAGAGACACATGAACCACTCACTAATACTATGGGCTCTTCATTTTAGGGTGTGGTAGACTCTGAATCTCATCCACCCGTGAGTTTATTACCAGGTTCAATCCCTTGAAGATCGGGGGCTTGCCTGTCTGGGACTGAGAAGCAGAGGTGGCTCCAAATGATTTCCATATCATTGTGACCCTCTAGAGTAGTGGATGCTGTCAAAGCCCTTCTCTCCCTACATCAATTTGGGGATCCTGGATTTCCAGAGATGGCCCCTTGCTACTTTGCAAAGACTTTTTCCAGTGTCCTGAAGCTTAGAGGTGTTGGTTGTTCTGGAAACCCCAGGAGGGGATGTCTGAGCTGATGTCTGCGCTCTGCCTGAAACTGCCCTGACCCTTCCCAGCTGCCGCCTCCTGAAGTCACAGAGGCGTGGGTGGAGGTCAGCTGGAATGCCAAGTGCTGGCAGAAAGCCTTATGTGTTGGCCAAGGCCCTCTGCTAACTGCAGAAAGAAAAAGTCAAGTTCCACATCCGGCTGATGATGCAGGACAAGAAGAGGTTGCCTGTCCAGGTCTCCCCCATCACTCATGAGCCATGACAGGCAGCGCAGGGCCCTGGGCCTGCCTTCCCAAGCCTGCCTCACCCACACCAGCCGCCAGCTCTACCTGCCTCACCGTTCACCTGAGCAGAGACCATGATGCCTGTAGATTCTCCTGGAGGCGAACAGGACAGTTCAGTGGGCAGCCTTCCCCCCCGCCCAGCCCTTCCCTCTCTACTGTTTCTGATTTTTATTTAAATCTTGCCCATCCTTCAAGCCTCAAGTCAAATTCCACTTGCTCTGTAACATTTTGGAATCATCCCAGCCCCTGGTGACTTTTCTCTGAGGCCGCATGCCCCTTTTGAAAAACTACTGCAAACTGTCTCTTTAAGAGGAACAATACCATAGACAGCAGCATTTTCTGAGCATTGAGCTTATCCATTAATGGGAGGACTTTCACCTGGGTAAGTTCACGGTACCCTCCCCAGCATCCTGTACACTGACGGGTGCTCAAAAGATGCTGTCCCTTTAGTATTTTTGTTTTCTTTTTGAGAAGGAGTCTCATTCTGTCACCCAGGCTGGAGTGCAGTGGCGCGATCCCGGCTCACTGCAACCTCCGTGCACAGTTCAAGCCATTCTCCTTACAGGCACCTGCCACTACACCCAGCTAATTTTCATATTTTTGGTAGAGATGGGGTTTTACCATGTTGGCCAGGTTGGTCTTGAACTCCTGACCTCAAGTTATCTGCTGCCTCGGCCTCCCAAGTGCTGGGATTACAGGTGTGAGCTACCACATCCGACCTTGTATTGCTTATTTATTTATTTATTTATCTGTGAACAGAGACTGGAAAATCACTGTTTCTGATTCTCAATTTGCTGGGTTTCCAGCCCTGATCAGGGGCCTCTCGGGGACATGTGTGCTGTGCCTGGCATGCACCCTGGCATGAAGCCAGGTGTGAGGACAACCTGGGCCCCCCGGCTGTCTCCCGTCACCTCCAGTACCAGAGCACAATGCCAATGGGTGCCACGACGGCTCTGCCATTTTCCATATGAACAGCCACTCGTGTTCATGGAAAAGGCATGGAGCACAGGCAGTCTGTGAGAAGTGCCCTGTGTCAGCAGCCTCCCTCCCATAGCCGCTGGGGCCAGAGCCCTCGCCATGCTGCCGAACGGACGAACTTCCCGGCTTACACAGCAACTGGAGGGGCCTTCACCTGGCAGGCAGCCAGCTGTCCATGACACCGCAGTGTCCAGGTTTATCCTACAGCGTTGCTGGGATACCCACTCCACTCTATGGGGTTTCTACCTCAGAAACTGACACGCTGCAGACAAACCCTGGTTCCAATGTCAGAGATACCTGAGGCCCCTTTCCCCAGCTTAGGTAGGGATTCAAGCACAGCTCCATGTTCCTCATCCTTTTAGGTAACACTGGCATATGGTTATAATTCAGACTGTTCTTGTACTAACTCAGCTTGCCTCCTGTGCCTCAGTTTCCCCCCTGACAACCTGACACCACCATTTTATACATGTCCTGGCTCCTCCGAACCTTCTCCACACCTTTGCTTTTGCCATGCATCCAACAGCCAGACCTGGACTTGCTCCCGGGAGTTGAAAGCAGAGGGTGAACAGACCCACAGCTCCACAGGCTCGTACAAAATTGAGCAGAGCAGAAAGCAAGCAAACAATTAAAAACTAATAACCAGCAATAAAATAATCCCAATAAACATAGAAAAAGATGTGCCAGAGACCCATCAAAACCATGAATCTTGAGGGCAAACATATTTTCCCATTAACGTTTGATTTATCATTTCCCTTATAGTTACATATTCATCCCTCAAGAAGCATATTTGTCCAGAACATATTTTGTTAAATACGATTCTCCGCATTTTGCATAAGTGGAAGATATCTGATTCGCTTTGGAATCTAAAAGCTCATTTTTTCTGGGTTATCAACATTTACAAAGCAGTCCTCATCCCAAGAGTTAAGCGCTGGGCTAAAGGCCAGATTGATTTTGGATGTGTCTACACATTATTGTGCACAGTTAAAAGCATCTCATGGACAAGATCTCCCCTCTGCTCCTGAGGGGTACCAGCCACAGATCTCAAGTTTGCTAGAAGAAAGCTCAAAGCCCATCGCGGCCTGAGGCTCCTGGAGTCAGTGAGCCCTGCTCAGGGCAAGAGGAGAGTCAGCCACTCTGGCATGTTGGTACTAACATTGCCAGGCACTGCGGGTACCAGCAGGCCTGGGAGGCTGGCCTGGCCCACCACACAGAGATCAGTGAGACCAGCACCCAGGCCAACAATAGGGTGGGGCTACAGTCTCCCTTGTGCCCCTCCTAGTCACCACCTTCCCCAGGTATGACCCCTACCTGGGATAGGACTCTCCCCTAGGTGAGTTTAGCCTGCTTCTGACTGCACATGAACAGAACCCTGCAGGATACAATTGTGTCCGTTGCTGTCCTCTCCCCATGATGCTTGCATGAGTCATGCACATAGATGCACGTGCATGCTGAATTTTCCTTCTTGCTCTCATGGTGTGGGCAGATACACTCTCCTCTCTTCATTCTTGTTTATGGACGTGGGGTAATTTCTTCCATGGCCCATGTGTTATCATTAGGTAGCACTGCTGGGATTGACTGAGGATGTTCTCTCGGCAAACACGTGTCCATGTTTCCGCAGGGCCAATGTCGATCTGTGAGTGGTGTGTTGGTTGGTGTCTGGGACTCGGAGGCACTGAGCTTTCCAGACTGTGGCCAGCCCATCCTGCGAAACTGGTGTGGGGAGGAAGGGTGGCCCCCAACAGAGGGCAAGACTGATGCAGTATTAGTCTTCACTCTTTGCTTTATTCCAAAAGGTAAGTGTCCAGAGCTGGCCGTGACATTGTAAATTTGATTGCTGCTTAAATTCCACCTGAACACTTAGAACACTCAGATGCGGAGACATGTGGCTCTCTGCAGACTAGTTTTCTGTATGTTCAGGAAGCTGGGCACATTACTGAAGACACAGAAGTATGGACAGCTGCAGGGTAGACGCTCCTCCTCATGAGCGGTGGTCTTCTAATACAGACACTGATGCTGGGCCGCCCCCACTGCCTGCCTCCATGGCAGATCCTTGCCTGGACGTTCCACTCTCTTTCAAGTGCTGCACTAACACATTTCCCTGACCACCTGGGCAGACCCCGCCCACCACCCAGCTCTTCAAGAGACTTTAGTATTTGATTGTCTGCATCTTCTGCATCTTACTGAGAGACACCGCTCACATGTGAGCTTCCCTGAGTTTACTCAGTAAAGACCCCATTACCTAAGGGTTTCTATGTCATCCTCACTAAGCTGGGATCATCCAGACTACTTCAAAGCATTTTAATACCAACACGTTTTCTTTTTGTTGAGAAGGAATAACACAACTTCTGAAAGCTGAGTCTGCTGTGGATGACCCCAAGTCAGACCCTGCCAAGGGTCAGAGGTGCCTATCTTCCCCCCATTTCCAAGGAGAAGCATGGCTGGGGGGAGCGTGAGCCAGAGAGAGGAGGCCAGATGGATTCCAGATGTGTTTTCTATGCTAGCGATTCACTTTCTCTACCCATGTCAAGTTGAAAAGTAAACAAACTATAAAAGGAAGAAAAAGAGAAAAAATAAAGAAAATGCTTCCACAGTCTGGTCTCCTTCACAACACCCCCCTTTCTCTCACCACATAAAAGCACAAGAAGATAGTAAGAAACTTCTCTTGGTCAGATGCAGGATGTTCTTAATAGGCATGTATTCCCAGGGAAATTAACTAGTTCATCCTCCAAACTGAATTAAGACACCAAACATATGCCAACAAGCAAAATTTCTTGGAAAGCAAGATTTTAAAAAATTTCATTTAAAATAACGTAGAAAGGAAGTAGTGAGTCGGCTGTTTCACGGCTCCAGCAAAATTCCTTTGCTAATGAGTATTTTCCCTTGCTCTGTATTTCCTGGGTGACCTCACTCTGCTTTTGGAGATAGTCCATTGCAAAATGCGTGTTTCACACACCCAGCCACACATACTCGGCCCATTAATGCAGCTTCCCTGAGAAACAACAACTGTTACAGACAACCCAGGTGAGAGCTTCATATCTTTTCTCCCTTTTCTTCTTCAGAGCATGGAAGTCAGTGCACTTCTCTGGTTAGACCTACTGCTTCCCGGTGGCTTTTTCACAAGTCCTTCTTTGTCACAAATAAGGCTGGGCCATTATGAGCTATCTGGGCACAGTCCAGGGAACCCTAGAGATGGAGGCTGTGCCCCAGAAAACTCAGTCCCTGTCCGCGAGCATCTGCCTCCATGAACGCCGTCCTCAGCTTCCAGACGTGTGTGGAGAGGCAAGTGCGTCTGATCCAGGAGGTGTCTGACCCCCTTGTCTGTCCATGACTCTTTTTAAACATTCTCCATTCTGCTGTTTCTTCATGATGGCATAGGATTAAATGGCTCTCAAGATTTCCACAGGGATGAATCCACAAAAACAGGCTCTGTCAGACGGCTAAAGGCACCTTCAAGTAAGAGGCATCCTGCCCTCAAAGTCTATCTGAGATCCTTCCTATCCTTTTCCAAAGCAGCAGTCTCACCTGGTGACTTGACATGTGTGCCACCTTGCACCATGGACATAGCACACATAGCCCCCATGACAGCATCTGCCTTCTGAATGTACGCAGGAGGAGACTGAGGTTGGGGAGTGGGGTCCCTTGTCTTTAGACACAGAGCTTGGAAGAGACTGAGCTGGCCAGTGTCCTTGCCATCTGATTCCAGGACATCACATTAGGGATGAGCTCTTTGGGAGGCTGCCACCTTGCCACTGGTTCTTTGCCTAGATGGTGACAGGAGATTCTCTAGCATGTTTTAGAGACAAACTGCCTCGTGCTTCCATGCCAGCACAATCGTAGAATGCCATTCTGGGGGCACTGAAATATCTGGAAAATTCTGAAGCCAGGAAAATGGAGTGGCACCTTCAAGGCCAAAGATCACCATCTACTGCCTGAGGAGTGGACTCTCACCTCGCTGTGTGAGCTGACCCCAGCCCGGCCTTCGGGCAGTGAAGATCCACTCACGGCACCAATCTGCAGTGGACAATACCTTCACCAATTTGACCCAACTGGCCTGTCGTCATGTCCCTCTTATAGACACAGCTTCAATTCCTCAAAAATAGGATTCAAAAAAGAGAAGAAGACTTTATGCCCAGTAGCTATAACAGTAACAACAGCTGAAACGTGTTATTAACTGAAACTAGATGTGATTCCACTCAGTCTATTCTTTTCCTTTTCTTTCAAACATTATATTATCTCCAAAAGCTTAAGGAAAATCTTAAGGCAATTAATTTGGCAGAAAACATATGGCAGAGGAATAATAGGAAATGGCTTCAAAACTGATAAGAGAGGAATTAGGAAGTCAAATATGAACCCGCAGCACCCTTGTTCTGCCTAAGGGAGACAGGCTGCAGAAGGCTGGTGGCCCAGCTCTGGTCACATTTGGGAAACAGTACAAAGTCCTGGCAGTTAAACGGTTCGACAACAGGGCAACCTCAGATTTTCCAAGATTGTGGCATGCTCAAATTCTCTCTCTCTCTCTCTTTTTTTTTTTTTTTGGTAATAAAAATATATACATACAGTATAGGTATTGAGGAAGATGAAAGAGATATCACGGAATCAAATCAGTGTCATAATTTCCAGAAAGAGGAAAACCAGTCCTGAATTTTGAGAAATAAGATCTTTAGGAATAAGAAGCTATGTAAAGTTTCTCCTATAGGAAACTGTAGTTTCTACCCTTTGCATCTGGTAGAAAATCTGGGACTCATGCATTGGACAAAAATTCACAATGGTAAACAGGAAGATGGCATTTTCAAAGATGAAAACTGGTTGAGAAATCATTCTCTCTAAATCTTAGGGGAGGCTCGTAAGGGCTAGCTTCAGTTTGGATCTCTGGTGTGAGGTAATGGAGTGACTTTGGAGGCCTAGAGTGAATGTTTACCGGTTTGCTGATGAAAAAAGCCTGATGTGTGATTCTTCTGTGGCAACAAAGTCATTCATCCCAGCACAGAGCTCTGCATCCATGAAACAATACTTTACAGATATAAACACTTCCACAACTCCTCAAGCACGACACACACACACACACACACGCACACACATCACACCATCACCACCTCCTCAACCAACATCAGCCCTGGGAATGGCCAGCTATCCTTGTTAGTCACATATCTGCAGAACATAATCCTTCCCGTGTACTTTCTAGGAATTATATTTTTCTTAACCATGCTTGTGAGATTTTTGTCTATGAATAAAAAATATCGAAAAGATAAATTATGAGTATGTGGTTATATACAAAGTCTGTGACTTCTAATGTCCAGATTTTAGAATGACGCCTAATTCTGGAGGTCTCAGAGGTACAGCTAGGAGTGGGTACTATATACAGGGTGAGTCTCCACTTAAAAATAACCTTCCAAAGAGGTCTCTGTTCCCATAGCTCCCCTTTCTTTATTGTAAGGGTCAAAACGAAGTGTGTTCCCTTAAAAAATCCAACAAGAAGTTCCTCTCTTATATCTAAATATAAAAACACCACAAAGAAATTGGGAGTGTCCAAAGCCAGAAAGTCAGAGGAAGAGACACACAGAGACAGAGACAGAGAGAGAGAGAGAGAGAGACAGAGAGAGAAACAAAGAGAGAGACAGGCTATTCAGAGACTCAAAAAGCCCAAAGCCCCTTCTCTAGCCATTATCTCAGTTCTGAACACAACATACTGACTTTCCATGGGAACTTCATTATTGCATTGCCGGGACTTGTCTTCCAGCATCAATTCTGACGGCCCTAATTGCCTTGTTTGAGAAATGTTAGTAAAAAACTAATTTTCTGGCGAAAATTGTTTAAAAGAGTGATTTTTTCTCAGGCGAACGACCACAACCCTCTCTCACGTCCAGCGTCCCCAGGCCTTGGCACTGAGGGCGCCTAACTTTTTAATGGTCCAAGGAAAACGACTGATGGAATTTCTCCACCAACAACTTCTCCACTTTCATCCAGGTATTCAGCTCCAGCCAGTTGTGAACGCTGCGGGTGCAGTGGAAAGGCCTCCTTCGCGTTCCTGCAGCGGCTCTGGGGGAGGGGTGCTGATGTGGAGCGCTCCGGCCGCCGCGGCGCGCCCAGGTCCCTGTCGCGCCGGGGATCGGTGGCGATTTTGTCGGAAATGAGGACAGGGTCCGTCAGCCCCCAGCCCCCCACCCCAGCTCTGCGTCGGCGTTCCCCGCTCAGACCTGCTGCTCACCTCCGTCGGCTGAGGGCGCTGGGGCCACCGGCATCCTGGCGGGGGGCGCGCTGCGGTGCCTGGGCGCCCGGTCCTGCGCTCGGATGCCCGCTGGGCTCGGAGGTTCGGCAATCTCGGGGCTCGCGACGGAGTCGTTCCCGGCCCTGGGGTCCTGCTCCAACACGTCCTGCCGCCGCCTTCGGGTTCCCGGGTCCCCGTCCCCTGTCCCCAGAACCGGCTTCCTCGGCCTCTGCCCGAGCGAGTCAGAGACGAAACTTTTCCAGCGGCCCGCCGGGGCGGGACCCGCGCACAGCCCCTCCCCTGACCGTCCCCGACTCCCGCACCTCTCCCCGCCCCCCTGGTCCCCGCCTTCCGCCCCCGATCCTCGCACTCCTCCCGCTCCCCACCTCCTGCCCAAGCCGCCTGTTCTCCCGGCGCCCCGCCCGCCCCCACCCTGCACCCTTTCTCCCCCACCCCGCCAATCCCCTAGGGTCCGGCTCGCTCTTCGCCCCCTGTCTCTAGGCCGGCCTCTAGACCCTGTCCTCATCCGGCGAGCTCCAGGTGCCCACCCTGGGCGCCCCGAGACCCAGCAGGAACAGGCGGCGAACCCGGTCCGAGAACTGGGCTTGGGCCGGCGCCTGCCGCGCTGACGGCGAGGGTTTGGGCCGATTCTTAATAGGATTAATACTATCATTATTGTTGCCCCGATCCTGACCGTTTCCTTCTGGAACTGTACGACCATCAGCTTGGGGTTGTAGGTGGGCGTCTGGCGCCGGACAGTGTTTTTGTTTGGGCTTCTCGGCCCTGGTCCCCTTCAGCTCCTGCCTGGTCCCTCTCTGTGCTCGACCCCCCAGGCACGCAAAGGCTTCGGCTCCAGGCGGGGGCGGCACTCTCCCCCCAGCCCCTGCTGGTGCACCAGCGCCCTCCCCAGCACAGAGCAGTGCCCCTCCCAGACTGGCGACCGGCGGATCTCAGCCGACCCCCATGCGACACCCTTCCTCATACGGATTTGCCCCTTTTGTGTGGCAAAAAGAAAAAGAAAAAGAAAAATTCATGTGAAGGCTTCAAACAGAAGAATCCCAGGGAGGAAACTGCCAAATTTTCCATCGGTGGCAAAGGCCGTGATTGAGCGAACACAGAAGCAGCCTTAGAAGCTTGGGGAGAAAGAAGAAAAAGAAAGAAAAAGGAGGACGGAAAGGAGAGAGGAGAGAAGTGGAGGAAGAAGACGAAAAAGGAAGGAGGAAAGAGAGGCCTGTTACGGACTGCGTATTCCTGGGCCGGCAGAATTGGGGCCGCAGCTCAGCCGCACAGAGGTGGGGATGCTTCATGCAAAGGCGGCTGGTTACTTCTTGTCTTTTGCCCTCCTGCCTCCAGAGGATGAACCCAGCGCATCCTTCCCTTGGAGCAGGGTGCATATGCTTACTTGGGGTGCAGTTTGAGCGGTGAAGGGCCCGTCACATACTAAGGCAAGAGTGGAAGTTGGCTGCACTCCTGTTCCCTGCTGAGAAATGCAAGCCCTCAGCAATTGAGCTGAAGGAAGCAAGCGACCCTGCCAGTGGAGGCTGCCGGCCCTAAAGGCTCTGGCCCCGGGAGCTGGGGGACTTCCCAGTGTTTTCACCTAAGCCACGTTGCAGGTGCTACTGTGGAGCCTCCTGGTACTGTAGCCTTTCAACTTGCTCAGAGTGTCGGTGCGCGGATCTGAGAAGCCACTTCTGTCCCAAGTTGCATATGAGCCTGCGTGTGTTTCCCTTTGTTAGACTCCTACAGCATCAAGTCAACAGAAGAAGGGAACAAAAGAAGGGAACATGTGGCATCCTCACAGTCGGGATAACAACACAGCATACTGTGGCCACTGTGTCTGTAGTTACCCAAACGGCCAGTGAGTTCATCAACAAATCTGTTCAATTTGTTGCTTCCCGTGATGAAAAATTCACTGCTAGGGTACTGGTTGAGGTTTGTTGTAACTGGCACCCAGGTCTCGGTTCCTGGAAAAAGTCTATAACCCTGACATAATAGAGTAAACTTGAGGTGTGGTCATGCCTCCAAAACTAGTCTCCGAAATTGGACTCCAGAAGCCCTGAGGAGTAATGTGGCTTTCATGCTTTATGGAAGGTTTCCCTGAGAGAGACCCAGGATCTGACCACAGCATCACTGAAATTCCTCTGAGTGATGTTGGTGCTTTCGAATATCCTTGATGGTTTATGTGAACCTATGAGCATCAATAGAAACCTAATTCTGACGAAAGACATGCTTGGCAAAATGTTCCAGATGGTTCCTGTGTCTTTCTGTAATGTGACTGACATTTCTAAGAAATTCCTGCAGTGCATTTCTTAAACATTTATGGAAGTATAACATACGTAGAAAAAGTGCTCAAATCCTGTTTCCTGCTTTTCTAGTTTTCATGAACTAAACACACCCAGGAATCAGTTCCTCAGTCAAAAATAGAAAATGACCAGGGCCATAGAACCCTGCTTGCTCCCTCTTCTTGTCATGTCTCCTCCCAAAATAGCCACTGAGGCTCCCTTTCCCTAAAGATCCCTGTCCTCAGTGGGTCTCCCCACACACAGGCCTCTCACTTACCCACTGCCCCACCTCATACACTGCCCCTTCCCTGAGCCTTAAAGCTCAGTCACTAGACCCTGATGAGGAGCTCTCCGTGCCTCTGTAGAGACCATCTCCTCTCACCACTGCTCTGGAGAGAAACAGCCCTCTCTACAATTCTGTTGAATAAGTCTCCCCCCTCTGCATTCTGGTTCACAAGGGAAAGCAATTTCACAGAAGAATGCCGGCTCATAAACTTAGAAATGGGAGAATGAGGACATCCCTATTCTGTAACCTTTAGTGAAATAATTAAGCCAGCCAGTGTGTGCTAGTGGGTGTCAAACCCTTAGGCGAAAGTGTGCAGGCGAACTGGTGCTAATTAGGAAAAAAAAAAAAAAGGTTTTCCATTTTTCATTTTTTTGTGGAGACATCTGGTTGTACCTTAAAGGAAGATCAAACTCACTGTTACTAGTACTGGCTTAGCCTAGCATTATGTGATGCAAAAGAAACACACAACATCATTGGTGCTGTGTGCTTGCCAAAGAGGCTTCCGTTGAATCAATTGCAAAGCCTCTAGACTTTACTTCCAGTTTACAGGAAAGAAGGGCTTGAGCAAGAAGTTAAATGACACCATGGGAAACAACTAGACTATCAGAGTGTGGGCGTCCTGCAGTCCGTTGCCTGATCTCTTCCAAAAAATCAATGTCAAGAAAAAGGGTGAGGGATTCTTCTGGTATGAGAACAGCTGAAGAGAAGGGTAATAATAAGCACAAATCCAGATTGACTCCCAGCTGGACAAACCAGCACACACACAAAAAAAAACATTTTGGAGGAAATTACAAATTAAAGGGGATATTGAATGATATGGAATTTTTGGTAATGTCTTTAGGTGTGATAATGGCATCATGTTTATTTAGGAGAATGGCTTTAATTTTAGGAGGTGCTGCTGAAGTTTTAAGGGGTAAAATGTCTTGATGTCTAAAACTTATTTTACATGGTTCAGCACAGTTCGTGCACATCAGCTGATATGACAAAATGTTGGTGATGATTGGTTCTAGGTGGTGGATACAGGACTGGGGTTGTACAATCTGTTCTTCTTTGTATCTGTACTTTTTCCATAATGAAAAGTTGGGGAAAGATAAAATGGCAGGTGCTAAACAACAAAAACATTTCTCTACCTGTGCACCCAGACTTTAAATCAAATCTAGGCTTATGGGAATAAAATTAAAAGATACTATGAATTATATTTATATACTTTTGAAAATCATGTGGGCTTAAACTTAAATATGATTTGAATAAATGTATTACATATCATAATTATGTAATATGACCTTACATGTTTTTTAATTTAAAAAATGAAATACATTCACTTTCTCAACAAATTAGTGTCCTCAGCCTGGTGAGCAGGTGCAATATAGTTAAAGAACATGCAGTTTTAAGATTCCAACTCAAAGTGAGCCCTTTGTCCAGCAGAACCAGTGCACTGCGAGAGAGCAGTGTTGTCTCGGAAGAACAGAGTAAATGCACCTCCTTTCTCCCTCCCTTCTGCCCCCCCCAGCCTCTGCTTCCAGGATCCCAGGGTGCCTCCCCAAGTTTCTGGATCTGAGTTAATCTGCACTATCTCTACTCTTGGCTCTGTTTAGTGCAAAGGCTGCAACAGACAGTCAATATCTGAGTAAATGTGTGCACATGCTATTTTTTTGTCTAAGGCCTCTTCTCAGGAAAATGTGTGTTGGTCATAGTTTGCACACATGAGCTTGACCCCTCAAGTCCTGAAGGTTTCCAGAGGAGGAGTGGGGTCTAGCAGACAGTTACGATGGTTAATTGTATGTGTACACTTGACTGGAGCATATGTGTCAAACATTATTCCTAATGTGTCTGTGAGGGACTTTCTGGATGAGATTGACATGTGAGTCAGCAGACGGAGGATAGCAGACGGCCCTTCCTGGTGGGGTTGGGCCTCACCCAAGTAGTTGAGGGCTTGAGTAGACTGTTACTGAAGACAAAAAGCCAACACTCTCCCTAGTTAGAGAAAAGTCTCTAACCAGGTGAATCCTCACAGGACTAGAACTGGGACCTTGGATCTACAGATGTTGGATGTGTCAGCCTCTATAATTGCATGAGCCAATTCCATATAATAAAGCCTTTGTGTGTGCTATAAGTATACCTCCCATGGGTTCCGTTTCTCTGAAGAACCCTGACTGATGCAGTGGCCCCAGGGCAAGGGCAGAACCTCACAGATATGGCCACTGTGGTAGAAGGGAGCCCAGGGCTACACTGGGGACAAGCGGCTTGTGGTCAGTCCGTCTGCACCTCGCCAGATATCCCAGAGCCATTTTCCCTCTGTTGGCTTGCTCTACACAGAACTTGGAGGAAATCACTTTAAAATATTGATGTGGATGTGGATTTGCAGAATGAAGCTTGGCCTTTTGTACAATAACCCTGTCTTGACCCAAATGAAGCCTTTGACTCACAGCCAGAGCTCTTTAGGGAGGTACGTTCATTTGGTAACAGAGATGTCTACCAGTGCTGAGTCGCAGTTCTTCCACTGTGGCTGCACAGT